TTTGGTGCTAAAAAAGAAAGGTTTAAAGTAACCCAACACCTTCACTCTGTCCCTGGAAACATCAAATAAAGCCAGAAATCTGGGGGTTATTATGGATTCAGATTTACACTTGGAGAGTCACATCAAATCAGTAACAAAATCGGCCTACTACCACCTCAAAAATGTAGCACGACTTAGAGGGCTCATGTCAGCTCAAGACTTAAACACTTGTACATGCCTTTATAACTAGTAAGCTAGACTATTGTAATGGTCTCCTTGCAGGTCTTCCAAAAAAAAACTGTCAGGCAGCTCCAGCTTGTTCAGAACGCTGCTGCTAGAGTTCTAACAAAGACCAAAAAATGTGAGCACATTACACCAATTCTTAAATCCTTACATTGGCTCCCAGTATGTCAGAGAATTAATTTCAAAATCCTACTGCTCACATATAAATCACTACATGGTTTAGGGCCAAAGTATATCACTGATATGCTTCCACTACATAAGCCTTCAAGATCACAAAGATCTTCTGACACCAATCTGTTAGTGATTCCCAGAGTAAATACAAATCATGGGAAAGCATCATTTAGTTACTACGCAACAAACAGCTGGAATAAACTTCCTGAAGATTTAAGACTTGCTCCAACTCTGACCACGTTTAAAACAAGACTGAAAACTTTATGTTCAGCTTCGCCTTCTGCTAAATTTTACCTACATTGCACTTTTAACCTCTGCTTTTAATTAAACAATTTAAGATTTTAATTTATAATTTTATTTGCTGTTTTTAATTGTCTTTTAATTCCTGCATTTTATTTCACTTTATTGTATGAAATGTTATGTGAAGCACTTTGAGTCTGCCTTGTGTATGAAAAGTGCTATACAAATAAAATTGCCTTGCCTTGCCTAACCTCGCGAGCGAGGAAGTTCACGTTTCGCAAGCGAGCAATACCTCGCTCGAGACGGACTTTTGACTGACTTTTGCTCGCGGTACTGCAGTATCTTATGCGCCTTGTTGTGCGGAAAACACTGCACATGAGCTCTGGAGAAAATGGTTTACAAAACATACATTGTCAGTTAATACATGTTTAATCGGTTAAATTCTTAAGGTCATTTAATCATCCGTGGTTTATGTTTTGATCAGAGTTGTGATTAAAGGTTTGGGTGGGCCGCAAAAGATTTTCAGATTTCAAAGTGGGCCGCAGCATCCTTGAGTTTGGGAACCGCTGGACTAACATGATAAAGACACTAGCTCCCCCTCCCCCCTGACCTCTACTCACTGTTAATCACTCACTCAGTCTATTTCTCCTCCTCTCACCCTCCCTCTCTCTATCTACGCCCCCCCACCCAATCCAATAATTTCAAAATAAAAGCCCCATGGAAAAGCCCTCAGGAGCCAAGCAGAGAGCCTCCTCTGCCCCCCCTGAGCAGCTGTACAGATGTGGCGGGGCTGTTTACCGTGGAGGGAGAGGTCGTCGAAGTAAGTTCAATCTTAGCCTGTGGCCTTGTAAATAAGGCAACAGGTTTAAAAATATGGTGCATTGGCATACATTTTTATTAACTCAAATCCAGTTTGTTTAGATTAGAAAGCATTTACGTAGATTGACGCTCCTTCTTTGTCACCTTTTATTGACGTCATAATTGCAGGTGCAACACAGAAGTGCTGCATTAAGCACGAGAGCATATACTTGTTCTACTGTGTGATAGAATTTATTTATTTATTTAGTAAACACTAAAAGACAAAAATAACCAGGCGATTTCCTGTCATTCGTGTGAGGAAGTGAAGTCACGTGTCTGCAGCTCAATGCGCAACATCACCGAAGGAACAAAGAGTCGGGTATGGCAGTACTTTGTGTTTGAGGCAGATGACGGTGGCGTGATTATTTTTTTGGTGGGGTTAGCCAATCAGTTTCAGTAAACATCCCAGTATGATTCAATGCAAAAAAGCATTTCAAACACGTATAATTACTCTGCAGTTAAATATTTAACATAACATCTTATTCCAACAATTCAGTATATTAATATACACATACATATATAAAACAATATGCTGAATATAACTACCATATCATAACTATTATAAATATACTACAATAAATAGCCCCACAAAACTTCATACATAATTAGTTATTTTGGATCAAATGTATGTGATGGTTGTGTGTCCTCACCTCAGTCCTGTGTGCGGGGGAGGTCCTCGAAGTAAGTTCAATCTTAAGGCTGCCGCATGTTTCTGCGTCTGCGTCGTTGTGTCGACGCACTCGTTTCAGTTCCTGGTTCTAAAAGTCTTGCGTGTGTTGCAGAGCAATTCACCTCCAGAACAACAGGTGGAGTCACGTGTTTTGTTGAAGACGACCTAGAGAGTCACGTCTTTGTGTGGAAGTTGTTGGTTGGTTTATTTACTCTGTCTTGTGGTCCACATACACCTTGGAAGACGGCAGAGAGGCGAGACACACAAAAACAGTTGATGGCATTGGAGCTGCTGAAGAGCAACTTCTTTTAATGAATCGCCAAGAACAGAAGAGGAGACTCAGGCGGTCTGTACGGCCACTAAATCAACCTAGGCCGTGGACGGGTGAATATTCGTCTGTTGTCCAACCTATGAGGAATATGGACGAAGAGATGCACTTTAAAGTATTTCCGCATGTTGGCTGGCCAATTCCACGACCTTCTCCGTTGTGTGCAACCGCACATACGGCATCAGGGCACACACAGCACGCCAATCGATGTCGCCTGGCACATATGCGTATGGCCACAGACTGGCTGTGGCCATACGCATTTTAGCCTCGGGTGGAACCCAACAGGCTGCAGCTGCGAGCTATAAACTGGGATCCAGCACGGTGTCCAGCATTGTTTCCGAGGTCTGCCAGGCTTTGTGGAAAGCGCTGCAGCCAGAATTCCTCCCTGTCCTTCAACCAGCCAGTGGGCAGCCATAGCAACGGATTTTTGGCAACTATGGAACTTCCCGAACTGCGTTGGAAGCCTCGACGGGAAGCACGTCAATATTAAGGCACCACCTCATGCTGGTAGTGATTATTTTAACTATAAAGGCAATCACTCCTTTGTCCTCATGGCAATATGCGATGCGAGGTATCGCTTTACAATGGTGGATGTCGGAGGGTACGGACGGGAAAGCGACGGCGGCATTTTCAAAGAGAGCAGTTTTGGCAAAATGCTGTTCGACCAGAAGATGAACCTGCCGCCATCAACGCACCTTCCTGGGACCACAACCAATGCCCCACACTCAGTGTTAATTTCGTCGACGGAAACTATGACAACATTTTTTCGTTAGCGACCTTTTTTTCCATGACTAAGACGTGACGAAAACGATCTTAAAAAATAAAAACTATGACTAAATCTATTCTAACTTTCCTTAACGAGCTAAGACGAAAATGTTGGTGGTTGACGAAGTCACAATACTTTTTCCCTCCTAAATTTGCACGCAACTGACAGACAACAGACAGGCAAAGTACGGCGGTTATTAACGCGTCATGATGACGTCATCCACGAACCCAACACGCTCGGTCGCATCGGTGCAGCGGTGGTTCTTGTGCACCGACTACGGACCGTGACGACTATTTTATGCTTCGGCGAGTTTGAACGTGAGCTTCGTTAGTTTAGCTCAGCTGTCTCGGGTTAGCTGACTGTTAGCAGGCTGAAGCCGCGCTGCTTCACAGAAACATGAAGACCCGTTTAAAGACTGTCGGACCTTTCTGCTCTGTTCTCTGGCGACGGCAGGCAGCGTTTCTTCAGATGAGACGGTCCGTTACAGGCTTCTCCAAACACGTCTAACATAATAAAAGTCATTGCAGGTTCTGAAGCCATGGCCATGTCAAAAGCATTGCAAGTAAACAGACAAAGACAACAAAGTGTTGCGTTTCGATCCCTGGTCCTCATGAAGTTGTTACGCCTTTGCCAATTTGTTAAATTGCCTTGCAAATAAATGCTTTGGCATTTGTTAAAATCCAAATCCTTTCATGTAATGATTTTTCACATGTCATTTATATTCGCTCACACAAACACTTCAACCATTTGTTCTTGGCCCGGCTCCTCCGTCACATTTTACAACCCATTGTGGCCGCGAGTTTAAAAGTTTGCCGACCTGCTATAGACCTGTCCTATGAGGGACATCTATAGACCTGTCCTAGGAGGGACATCTGATGGACAACCAAGTACTGCAAGCTAGACTATTATGCAGCTGTAGACACAACACAGGGGGTCCCTGGGCCTGAGAAGGGAAGAAAAGGAGTTTAATATGGCTGTTAAATGGGAGTAAAACTAGACTAAAACTAATTAGATTTTAGTCTAGTTTTCGTCGACGAAAACTAGACTAGGCTGAGGTCTCAGCTGATGAGGAGGTGGATGGCTCGGAGGAGGCCTCAGCTGATGAGGAGGTAGATGGCTCGGAGGAGGCCTCAGCTGATGTCGTCTTTTGAACCAATAGCAATCAGCACTAAAGTTTTTTCTCACACTAAGATTTTTACACTGTAATGTAATTAATTCATGGTTCACATTTAACATATATTGAAACTCCCACGATAAAATGAATGGCCTTTTCGGGCCGATATAATGACTCACTTATATTGTATCTTACATATATAAAATCAGTTAATCTGCATTACCTTAATTTCAATTAAAATAATAAAACATGATATTGCTGTTAATTAATTCAGTATATTCGTCATGTATTAAATGTATTTATTCACATTTAGTCACATAATTCGAAAGCACAATCTATTCCATTTTTATGTTTTTCTTTCACATTTTGAAGATGCTTGCCTTGTTTTTAAGGCTGTACATGTGCTTGCGCGTTCTACATATAATCAGTTCATAATAAAGATAGAAGCGGCAGGGTAACAAGGGAATGTATCAGAGGGATAGTGTTGTAAAATACAGGTGTACCAGGTTATTGTAGGTCTGCCCGGGGAAAAAAATTGACCATTTGCTTTGGCCCAATAAGTTGAGGTGAAAAGGGAAATCCTGATTATTTTGCACTATGAATAAAATTCTTCATATTGTTCAGGCTAAAAGTTTAAATTTAGACACATGCAGCGTGCCGCTAAAGCATGTTGGTCCGATAGGAACCAGACTTCAGTATCTGAAGTGTAACAATGACCTTAATTGATTTTCTGAAACAGGGGTAGAGAATGGCATAGATCAGAGGGTTGAGACAAGAGTTACAATTACTCAACCATATTACAATCGTTACAGATGAGGTTGGGTACACGTTATTTTGAGATGTAAGAACAAAACAGTAATATGGACAAATACATATCAGAAACACAACTACAAGAACACCAAGATTCCTGGCTGCTTTCATTTCAGACTTTTTAACGGTTGCTTTCAGTGTCACAACTGCAATGTGAGACCGCATGGCACGAGCCTGATACACAGCCACCACAAATATTCTCATATATAGTATGATAATAACAGTAATGGGAAAAATGAATGTAACAATTAGATCAAAAATACTAGCGATGTAGTTCCTGTCAATGACACACTGTCCTATGCAGGAGTTGTACCTGCCTGGATGTTGCAGGTTATTCTTAAGCAGTACACTGTTAATTAAAGCAGCAAACATCCAACACAGACAAACACAGACTTGAACGCTTTTTCGCTTGACTTTGGTGAAATAATGCAGAGGATAACAAATAGCCACATATCGATCCACTGATATGAGCACCATTGTTTCAATTGAGGACAAAAAAACAACGGATGATAGAATCAACCAAAGATAACACATGACATCTCCGAGCAACCAGCAGCCCTCGATCATTGTTTGAAAGATCATGAAGAGGCCCATGAAGAAATCTGAGACGGCCAGAGAGAGGAGAAGGAGGTTGGTGGGGGTCTGGAGCTGCCTGGAGGGAAACAGATATTGATATTCGGATCAATAATTATGGCATTATGGGATCTATCAGATATAAATACACAATTCAAGAAAAATGAATTAGCAAAATCTACAAATTTGTAACACTGGTTTCAGAAATGAATAATAACAATAATACATGTCACTACTTGAAGTGGGAGATGGAGATGATGACCAGCAGGTTGAGAACTACAGTGAGCAGAGAGATGGAGGACAACAAAATGTAAATCAACGTTGCTTCTAAGTGAGGATGAATTGTTTTTCTGCATGAGGTGTTGATGAGTTGTGGAAAGCAAAGTTCAGTTCCCACCAAGGTTTCCATCACCGCCGAGGAGAAGCTGCAGAACAGCTTCAGCTGACTGGCCAAAGCTTCTTGTCTTACAACTGATTTGTCTCTTTACTTTGGGTCCACCCCTCCTATTGTATCACCTCACTGTTGTTTCTTTCTCCATGGAGATTGAAGAACAATAGTTACCCTGCTCAACTTCCTTCCCACTGGAGATGACTGTTGCGTTTCGATGTTGACCTTTGACCCAGGACTTTCTGATCATGTGCAATGTTTTTCATACCAATGTCAAAAGATTGTTTAAGTGTTTACGATTAAAGTCTTTTTCTTTTTTCAACTCTGCATTTGAGTCCTGCCTCTGCCTACACCCATTGACCCCCCCCCCCATACAGTTCCACACTTGCCCCCCACTGTACTAACTAATCAATTTGGAGATGTAGTGTGAAATCCCGACCACATTGCTGTGGAGTTCTGTTGTGATTGTATGAGTGCATAATGTAATTTTTGTAATGTAATTATGTAAGTAAAACATGTAAGAAGTTGGCGAATCTGCAGGGAACTTTATCACAGCAGTGCACAAGCTAGCTGAGAATGTCGTCTTGAGTGCGTGAAGATATGATCTGAGACAGGATTGTTGGCGGCATACGTGGTGCCAAATAAAAGCAAAGCTGCAGCTCAATCCAAAATCGGTTGTAGCTACAGCCATAGTTCCAGTGAGGTAGCTCGAAGAGGTGAAAAAGCAGTTATTCTCCGGACAGCCAATTCACTTTCAGCCTTAGCCTGCCTAAATCAACCCAAGCAGTGTGAGAAGTGTGGCAAACCCCTACACATGCATGGACTGAATGCCCAGCAAAATAATGTTGAATGGTAGAAAATGGCAAAAGGGGGGGAAA